TTCTCTCTCTCTCTCGTCTCTCTCTCTCTTCTCTCTCCTCTCTTCTCCTCGTCTCTCTTCTCTCTCCTTCTCTCTCTCTCTCTCTCTCTCTCTCTCTCTCTCTCTCTCTCTTCTCTCTCTCTCTCTCGCTCTCGCTCTCTCTCGCTCTCTCTCGCTCTCTCTCGCTCTCTCTCGCTCTCTCTCGCTCTCTCTCTCTCTCTCTCTCTCTCTCTAAAAAAGAGACGACATTAAACAAGTATTTATTATTTTTAGGTCGGATGCACGTCCGAAGGACCAGATCTCGCCACATTTTCGCGTAAATATTCTATGACGCATCACGCACGTGTACATGAGCCAATCGGCTGATGTTCGCATCCGGGAAGCATTTGGACTTTGGTTGCATCAAAACCTCAAAAGAAACACCTTTTTGGGGGGAAGGGCTGGGGGGGGGTGGGGGGGGGGTTATAGAAACAACACAAAAATGTTTATTTCTTTTTACAAAACAAAAACAAAACAAAACCAAATCACAAACAAAAAAAGTAAAAAGAGTGGAATCAGAGTAAAAATTCACATAAATATCAGACAGTGTCTGCCTGCTGTCACTGTCAGTGCCTGGTCTTGCGTGTGGCGTGAAGTTTTTTTGTTTTGTTGTTTCATATTTGCATTCTAAAATATGTATTTAAAAAACAGAAGGCTATGATTTTTCTATTGGTCTGTATTTAAATAATAAAAAGCAATCAATGCTAGAAAGTGGAAAGCTATGACGACATATTCCATACCCTACAAAAACATTTCGTGTCATTTTCAGGTTATGATATTTGTCTCTTCCATAAATATAATGTACAAATAGAACATTTTCAAATAGGCTCTGCAGCCTCTGCTGTCCTAACTGCTGTGTATATATTGTATATACCTGTTGTGCCACACAATCGATAAGCTCAGCACCCATCCCATCCCTCGAATGTTTGTGTGCGAATATGACACTATGTCCAACAATGCGTCGGGCAGTCCAACAACAGAACAAGTTGTGCGAGAGAGACACATATTGGAGTTGCTTGTAAAAGCGCTGCCATATGTGCACGAGTATGCTGCAAATCATGGTGAAGGTGGTGCAGACAGTCATGTGAGTATCCCTGACTGTACTGATCGCAAGGTCATTCTCTGTCAGTTCAGGGATGCTGTCGCACATATTGTGATAGTCAGTGGAGGCTCTGAGAAGGGTAGTACAGTTGGAAGGAGGTGTGCTAAGCTCGTGTATGCATTGTAGAAAGGACATGAGATCGACGAGACTGCTTATAGTAGAGGCGTGCGCAACCTTACCAGACTAGTTATTCTCATAGGTCATGCGGAAATGGAGGCTCAGTTTGCTACCCGGTTTGATGTCGAGGGAAGGAGCTGGCTGCAATACAAGGAGATTGGCAACGCACACTACTCACGGAAAGAGTATGCCGAGGCTATACAGGTGTATACCACAGCCCTCTCGTTGGATTCCAGTCAGGTAGTTGAACAGCCCAAACTTGTTGTCTTGATAACATGTTAGATCACATTTGTCTAGTAATAGCTTTGTATACTTTTTTTTTTCGTGTATAGATTGCCTTACTTCTGATACCGAACGTCTGCCTGCCTACCTCGACACGGAAGTCAGTCTTCCACGAATTGTTGTTCAATGATGTACCTTTTCAATCGCGTATGTCAGCTGCCTAGACGGTTTATATCATATGAGTGCCATCCCCACGCCTTCACAAACATGCTTCTCTCATACAATGTGTGTAGGTTGCGCTCTATTCAAATCGTGCGCTATGTGCAATGCTCCTTGGACGATACGAACTAGCCCGAGAGGATGCCGAGGACGCAATTGAGTTAAATGGCCATAACATGAAGCACTATCGTGTGCTAAGTAAAGCCCTAGTAGCTCTGGAACTATGGGATGAAGCTAAGGCTGCATGCATTGACGGTCTGAAGCTCGTGCCTGATAACCGAGTGCTGTTGAACCGTAGTAGAGATTGTACCGCCCACGCCGTACAAGCCAGGTGTGTTTCTACTCGGAAGATGGTAGAGTGTTTAATTAACAGATGACAGGAAGTATGTTGATGATCCCAAAAGGAAGTATGTTAAGGATGCCAGATACGTGTATAATAGATTCCCTTTTTTGGTGTAGCGGAATGCACATGGACCGTTTGCAATTGCAAGGATGTTTATATATGTATATAACAGGTTTCAGACTTTCGTTGCAAATGTAGTTGCCTGTGTTTGGAGGTTATATATAGCATTTTGAGTTGTTTGTGTCATGTAGCTTTGTTAGATGTACTAGACGTGTGCGGGTGGGTTTGTGCGTATCGGCTTTTGATTGCAATGCTACTGTACGGATATTCACTCACTTTCACGTCAGCCTAAAGGTCTTGAAAAGTGCGAGTCAGCTGATTTCTCCGCGCTCATATTTCTTTGTTGTCTCGTCGACGCCATAGGGAATTGGATAACCACACTGTAGTTCATTCAAATGCGTTTGCGTATACAACAATTGCACATCTACTTAAGACACTACCAGCTGTCGCACCAAATTACATCCCGGATCTAAATCTTTACCTATTCACTCCATTCATTTATATATGCTCAGTCTAGTGGCCTGCAACACATCTGGCTCCATTGCCAACACGAGTGCATTATATTCGATGTCTGCAGGCGGCGATCTTAACATCCAAGAACAAGTGAAGCAATATCATGTTAAGATGAGCAAGCTGAAACCACCTGCCGGTGATATTGACCATATAGCGAGTGGTCTGTTCCTACAGCAATACATTCTGGTACTGAAAGCGCACAAGCTCCGAGATAGTGGCAAGTTGAAGCAGGCTATTGCGACGTACACGGAGACGACAGTGTCGGGCAGTGCGGAGGGCCAATACAACCTTGCCTGCCTTCTTATTGGGAATGATAACACCAAGATGTTACGCTGGGGCAGAGAAGCGGCTAAACAGAAACTATATCTCAGACTCGATGGCCCAAATATACATTTAAATAACGCTGTCGCAGAAGCCGAGAACCGTCTCGGTAACACCTACAGGGACAGCAGGGGAGTGGACCAAGATTACCACAAAGTGTTCGAATACTATGTTCTCTCGGCCGAGCACGGGTGCCTTAACGGTATGAATAACTTGGGAGTTTTCCTGATGAATGGAGTTGGGTGCACTCGAAATGTATCCCTAGGTTACACATGAATTCAGCGAGCCGCGGAGGGAGGGCTACCCTTTGCATGTAAAAATTTCGGCTGTATTTTGACAAGTGGAGAAAGTGGTAAGAAGGATTTAGGTTTGGCAAAACAGATGTTGGAGCAGGCGAAAGCAGGCGGTATTCCAGATACGCTGCGTTGCTGCAACGTTTGCGTATGCAAACGGAGGTATGCACACCATCTGTGCGGTTTGTATTAAACCTTTTACCTATACGCGCTCTGCCTGTGCCGTGTGCTTTTGATGTGTATTTTCACCAGACTGTAATGAAGGAATATATATAGCAGGAAGTATAGTAAAACGAACAGTGTTATAGGGATATTATTATTTATTTCAAAAATGGCCAAGTATGTATGATACAATGTATGAACATATGGTATGGTTCTCATAGTCGCTGGAGTGGTTCAGTGAAGGAATACATCTTGCGCGGGTGGTACGATGAAGTGTTTTTTGAGCATATCTGATTCTATCGATGTACTGGTATACCATGTCGTTTATCGTGGCCGCTGAGAGTGTTCAACCACTTTTGTTTTATTTATAGATGTCGTGTGCAAGTGCGAGCACAAGCACCAAGTTGGTTGAGGAGGAAGCTCCTGTCAACAATGCTTTTGATATGTTGCTGCTGGCGGACAACCACTGACTGAGTGAAGGAGGCGTGCTTCAAGACCTTGATGAGGCCGCAGAGTAGTACGAACGCGCCGGAGCGATGGGTGCCGTGAGTGCATACACTACTCTTGGTGAACTGTACATATACGAATTGAAGGTGACTGAGAAGGCTTACGCCGCGCTGAAGAAAGCTTCCATTAGTGGCATAGATAGAATTAGAATTGGAATTGAAGGTATGCATTTTTATTGTATGAGTATGTGGTACAGTATGGCATTGCTATTCGGATACAATACGTATAGTCTCATCCAGTGCATGTTTACGATTTTGAACCAGCGACTCTTTATATACGCAGCTTACAGACCTACGCGCTATCTTAACCTTTGCAAATCATTAACACTTCAGGGTAAGTCGAGCGTTGTATTTGCTTATAGCGGATATGGCTGTGAGCGCGATCCGAAAGAGGCCAGACGCATATTTCAGCGCTATAAAAAATTCGCCAGCTGGTACTCTACAAGCTTTCCAGATACTGAAATAGGCATGGGTTCGACAGTATGTTCGTACGAGAAAGAATCTAAACTTTCTATTCAAGGCCTTTCTATGGAAGAACGCAACACTCGTTACTTGCGATATTTCATGGACACTTGTACACCCTCTGCTGAGGCTGAAAGCGATGTCAGCACATTGCCTGACGAGAAAGTAGAGATGTTGAACCATTTGCGGAAATCTTTAAAGAGTACGGCGACGCATAAACAGCCCACTATGAAGCCCATTGTGACTACCACTGGTGATACGACGCTGGAGTGTATAAGAATGCGGGCAAAGGCAGGATTTTGTGGGGCGCAAGACTATATGAAAGCTGTTGAGTTGAGCAACCGAGTTCTCGACCGCTTGATGAGTATGTGAGAAAGTAGCGTTTCATGCTTGAGTGTGTATTCACATTGTCACGCTTCCGAAGTCTGATGCTGTTACATATATCCTCCATGATGGATTCCCACATATCTCGCTTATGTAGTTCAGTTTTAACCATATGGGGATGGGGTACTATCTTATGTCGCGGTTTCTTTACAATTGTTTTCTTATCTTTGGTGAGTTTTATCGTCGTCGTCCGCTGCGTTAACCGTTATCTACATATTTTAGCTGACTTTTGAACTTTTTGTTCATTGCTCGTTCACCAGCTACCAGAGCTCAGGACGCTGACGAATGTTTGGCTGATTTGCGAGAGGTTACCAGGCTCTCCGATATATTGCCGTTTTCAGCGAATGAGATCAGAATGACTACGCGGGTCGCTATGAAACGTCTGGACGAGGTAAGTGTATATGATGTTGTCAACTATACCCTTGCCAATTATATACTACAGGATAAATGTACGTAAAAGTTATATATTGAGGAGAGTCACTCTTGCAACATTCACCCATTTCTTGTTCCATCCGCGTATTCATCGCAACTGTTTCGTGAAATACTCTTACCATTTTGAGGTACTTGTTCCGCTCAGTAGGTTTTTTAACCAGATCAGTACATACAAGTCACTCACATTATGCTTGTGCTAATATTCAACAGGAGAATTGGATGCACGCAGACACTTCCTTTTATCTGGTACGAAACATCAACCCCATCCCCAGTATTCGGGAGATGGTAGATAGGCTCTCATACTTGGTGGAACTCCATCCCGAAGATGCTGATATTACACGTCTACTTGGTCGTGCGTATAAATTTGCTGGCATCTTTCATCTGTCTTCTTCGTTCTTCTGTCGTGCCTTGGAGCTAGAATCCGATCGCACGGACTTGTACTACAAGTTGGGAGCTGGTAAGCATAATTTTGTAAAGAGTACACCGGAGTGTTTGTAGTTTTATGCTATCAGTTTTATATTCGGAGTGGGACATCATCTTGAAGAGTATTTGGTCGTACTGAAAGCGAACCATTTATTTTTCAAACTAGGTATGCAGATTTGTATATCGTTGGTTGAAATCCATTTTCATTTTTTTTCCAATATGAAATGGTATATGCATTGAAAACATACCAGATGCTGGTTCTAATTCCACTGAAGAAATTTGGACTTGTACCCGATGCTCGCGGAACGAGCCGAAACTGAGTAGTTTATTGTATAACCAACACAGCAAATGGGAAAATCAAATCTCTGTTTCAAGACTACTAGTGGAAGGCACTAATCATTTTGTGGTTCACAATGCAGCCTACCGATTGCGTGCCGATAAAACTCAAGAAGCGATCGACGCCTTTGTGCGGTTCATCAAGGACAGTCCTTCTGATCACAGAATGATGGCAAATGCACACTACTCTTTGGGTTTTCTACATCTACAACTGCCTAAAGATATCCAGAATGCTAAGAAACAGTATCAGAAAGGCAGCCTCCAATTGATGAATTGTTTCTACCGAAATGGGTGCTACAAACACTGGCTTGAATGAAGTGGCATAAGTCGGTGGTTCACAATCTGGGTATTGTGCCAAGTCTTCAGACGAAGAAGAGGATCTGTATAGTGTGCGGCGTAGAAAACTCTAGGCGGTGCTGCCCGGGTGTCTTCTATTGCAATGTCGCATGCCAGAAGAAGAATAAAAATATTTACAAACTCGTTTGTCCACGAGGAGTGAAAAATTGATTCAATTTCGGCGTGCGGTGCTACAATTGAAGACCTTCTTGCAGCCCATCACTCTCCGAGTGCACTCTGCACCCGCGAATATATATATTACTAAGACACGACTGAATCCAAATTCGAAAACATATAATCTACAGTTTAAAGCGGATATTTTGCATCGTACTTCTAGTTTGAAGTCATTTTATGAGTCAGACCATCTTCCGAGGTCGAGGAATACAGTCAATCAAACAAAGCAATTGTCAGTGAGTAAGAAGGTTGAAATGATATCCTCGTCGTTTGACACGCGTAAACATGAGTCCGTCCTTCTGCGCAGTGGAAACACTAGATTTGAAAATGAGCATCAGAAACCCCTTCGCTGGGTTTTTGCACGATGTGGCACTTCCTCAATCCTCACCGACAATATTCGAGTGGAAATAGGACGAATTTTGGCGCCAGAATGTGAGTCATTGTATTGTCGGATGGGCAGTTCTTTCCAATTATGTCCACGTACTTAGAAGTCGTGCATTGGTATGGTCAGCTTGACGAATATAACCGAAATGAGTTCATACGCACTAATCAATATAATTCAATACATCATGAGATGACTGGGCTTCGCGATTCCTGAAATTTGATTTTATTGTCAAGTTATGTTATATTGAATTATAGTATTACTTCAGATGAACTCACTATTGGATAGTCCTGAAAGAATATACACGCAAAATCTTTCTAGTAGTATGGTCGTTACCGAATATATGACTGATTGCGTACACATTAAACTCGGACTAGTCCTCGAAAAACTGCAAACATTCAAACCATAGCATTGAAGCACACTACTAGCATATGGTGAGCGTACGCTTTGCGCGAAAGAGCACGTCTCCTTTGCTATAAGTGTTCGTCTGCCATAGATCGCTAGAAGCGTACCTTTTGCTTGCGGCTTCTGGTTAGAGTAAAGGGCGAGAACCAAATGTGAGGCAAATCCACATACCGAATACTCTCCGCCCTGTCAGCTTGAAGGGAGGCAAACAACGTTTGATGCTGATTATTTGATACACGACATAACACATAAAAATGTTAACATACCGATCGTATGGTGTAGTAAAAGATGATGTGCGGAATTAAGGGTATTTGATGACTCAAAATCCACAATGTGAAGAAACCGCTCACCATGAACACACACACAATGAGGAAAAGCGTTTAAAAACTTGAAACCCCCGGGCTGAGCACTTATAAATTGGTACACATAAGCGACATCGACCAAGGTATCTATTTGATGCAGACCCTTGCTTGATCATTCGAACGGTATATTAAGGTTCCAAAAATGAAAAAGGTTTCGGCATCATCAACGTATATTCAGTTCTCGTCAGTATGATTACCGAAGTGCTAGGCGCAAATAAGTAGAACCGAAACACTGACTTCTAGTTGGACCAATCCCTTCCCTGAACATTTGAATAGTTCAAAACACACATCACACATGATCAAAAAAAAAACACGGACCCTGTACAACCCCTCCCTTGTGCAGTTCCCTGATAGTAATAAAAATAAAAAAAGTTGTAAATCTACACGCACGCAATGCATAGCTGAACAATCGCTATGCACGATCCCGTGGCAATATCACACGCATAAAGGTCAATCCAAAAAAAAAAACATAGGCAGCAACGCATCTTATTCCAAAAAAGCGACCCGTAGATAAAGATCCGTAGCTATAGCAAACCGTCAACAGATCAATCGACTATTATGAACACATACGCAAGACTTGGCATTGTCGGACTCGCTGACTTCCCAGAACAAACTTCACACAGCTCACAATTCGTCTTTGGCAGACCCACTTTGGTAAGAGATCGGGAATCACTCAATCCTGAATTCGATATCCGGGTCTCTGTTTCCATCCCTCCGCTCGGCCACGGGGTCATTTGGATCTCTGCCAGTGACTTCGTCTTGATTTAGCGCTGTAAGTTGTATTTCACGAACAATGCAAAATGCGATACTAGTTTCGAATGTGTGAATATGTGTGGAAAATTTGGAGCACCTATAGCTATTACAGCGAGAACAAGCATAAAGTTCCCATGATTATGGAATAGTGATGGTGTATATATGCACATTCAAACTTCGGTCATCAGCCTGGTTCACTTTGGTAACATTGCTGTTTGACAGTTGGCTATCCATCCACTTTAGCACTGATTTGCATCGCTGCATCAATAACTACCAACTACCCCCTTTAATTCTGCAGTGTATTTTGCTAGACGCGAGTTTGTGGTCGAGGAACAGAGAGTGCCAAAAATGGCGTGCAACATGGCCACAGCTGCACAACACATGCATGTGGCAGATACAAATTTTTACATGGAATTGCAGCTCAGGAAGAGCATGCGCATATTTGTATCAGAATATCAACTGCACACGGGGGGGGGGGGAGGGGGGGCTGTCTAAATACGACATGACATACCGTAGAAATATATCTTTGGAACATTGTGTCGAACTGTACACGTTGACATTCTTCAGTTAAAATACGGAGAACAGAATATAACTCAACACAATCTGATGACTCGTATTACAACCTACGAAGTCACACATGTATACGGGGATGTACGAGCCACACACCCGCTGGCACTAAAACAAAGTTATAGGTGTGCACAAACAGCACGAAGGACATTCAAGAGTGTTTGACCAACGGAAAAGGTATGCACACTCGCATATATTGACGCCTGAAAAACAGGCAGACACACCTGAGGTGTGGTAGCTGATTTCTCACCCATGCCCAGCGTATCCGTCGCAATCACGTTGATCTTTGTAGTTGTAAACACTATACCATCCGCATTCGCTCTCATGTTGTGAGTGTGATTGCCTATGCCCAACACTAGTTGGCAGTGTACTGGGGTGCGTGCCTGTTTGTGTTTGTATTTGGGTTTTCGGCTGAGTCTCACCTTGTAATGCGCACCTGATATGCCCACTGGTCCCACACTTTGCCTTCTGCCGTACCTACTGAGTCGCGTGATAGACGCAAGTGTCTCCAGTTCGACCGTATCTCCCTCGCTGTCGGCATTAGTCTTCTCTGCTGTGTGCATAGGGATACCATTGGCTATTTGCGTAAGTATGTCTTCAGCTGTGTAAGCCCCTTTTCTCTCTCTCATTTGGCCTTCTTTCTCTATTGCTGTACGCACCCACATTCGTGTCTGCGACGGCCTTTGTTCCCTTCTCATTTAAATATACTTTTGACGAAATGTGTCAACACCTGAAGAATAGTCTATGGCGACCCCTCACCTATTTTTTGCCCTTGCCACAATGCTAAGCATATTTGTATGTTGTCCGCTTGCAAGTCCTTCGGACACACTTTTTTAAACTATCAGTGCCACATAACGCTGGCGTAAGGACTTGTTTGAAAGTAGCCACAAATTTCTTTGTGGTTATGTGCACGTGTGCCCTGCTAGTGTAATATAGCGTATATTCAGAATGTTGACATCGTTCTCCTGGTCTAAAGATACATCCATATGTGTAGTATCGCGAACTTGCTTCTGTATGTCCGTGCCTGATAACAGGGCAAACCTGTTTTCTGCGAAGTTAACCACATTTTAGTTGTGTGAGTGGGTGAGCAATCCGTTCAATCCTCAGAATTCGACCCACTCCTATCGCCATTATACAGCTGTACAAGGGAGTCTGTCAGTGTGTTTCGAGCATTGCTTCTTGTATACCAGTGTCGTTACTCGATGTTTCCAGCTTGTGTGTGTGTATATCCTCTCTGATATATATATATTTATATATATATATATATATATATATATATATATATATATATATATATATATATAT